CTTGAGTCTGGTGAGTTGTGCCATGCAGTCAAGTCTTGCTGTCGGACCGAGGGCCCAATTCAGTCGGGCCCAGCATTCCTCAGTCAGAATGACGCAACTTATAACCAAATGGGTTATAATCAGTTCTTCACCAAGGGACCGCAGTGTCGATTGAGTGCTGTGGTGCTTGCAAACGATGGAGGATCAACAACCTTAAAACCCTTCTCGCGGATCAATGCAGTAATAAAGGATGTGAATGACAATGCGCCTCATTTTGCTTATGTGGATCTTGAGGTGGATACAGGAAGATCTGAAATTTCTCATGGTCCCGCCACGGACTGCTTGCATATCACCTTCCCTGAGGGCATGGAAGGTATTGGACAGAGTTTTGCCCTGCCTACTGCGGTTGATGACGACTTTCTACCGGAAAACTCTGCCATCACCTATTTCATTGCTATGAAGTCGCCTGAATCGGATTCTTTCCACGAGCCTGGGACGCTGCGGAAGGTTGAACTTCCTATCGATGCCAGCAGATCAACACCAACTTGGGTAGCGGTCGGGCCCTTTCGATTGGTTTACCAAACAAAGGACTCTTCTCTGGCTCTCGAAGTTGCCCGGGAGCTAGACAGAGAGACTCAATCTGAGTACGAACTCATCCTCTATGCTGCAGACAGCGGCGGCAAACAGAGCACGCTTTGCCTGCATGTATATGTCTTGGACGTTAATGAATTCGCGCCAACATTTGTCACTGTCACCCAATTGGGCAAAGTGGAGGTCTCCGAGATGATAGATCAGGGCAGTGGCTGGCGACTGATTCAAATCTACGAAAATATATCCGTCCCGTCGGCATTAATTCAGGTTGTTGCAGAAGACAAAGACGCTCCACCTGCTAACAAGATAATCTACAAACTCGGCCCTGGTTTTCCCCCAAATGAAGTTCCTGCCACCTTCTCCCTGGAACCCCTTAGTGGAAGACTGACGCTAGAGCGCAGCCTTGACTATGAACGCACAAAACGTTATAAGTTATCAGTATTGGCTATTGATGCAAATTGTGATTCCACGCTTGAGATGCAAAATTTGACAAAACGCCTTCTCAAGAAAACCTCCCGCGCCATAGCAGAAAGTATAAAAAAGGAACGCAAAACAGCCAGTCTTACCCTGGACATCCGGGTGAAAGACTGTAACGATAATGCTCCCGAAATTAAACTCCAGGGCACAGTCAGTGATGGTCAAGCTCGCCCCAACGGTGATATCGAGACCCTGGAAGTGCTGGAAAACTCCCCACAGGGACTGTCCCTAGTATTTTTCAGTGCAATCGACAGAGACCAGGGTGATGCAGGCCTTACCACGTGTCACCTCTTAAACTGGACTCACAAATTTCGCATTCATAAGTTCGCTGATTTCTACAGCCTCGAAACAGCCGGCGAATTGGACCGCGAGCAAAAAAGCGAGTATATCCTGACAATTGAATGTTCTGACAGTGGAAATCCACCGTTAGCCAGCAAGAAATTGATCAGAGTTATACTGCTGGACGAGAATGACGAGGCTCCGCAGTTTTCTCAGCCCATTTACGCCTTTCATGTAGCCGAAGGTAGTCCACCTGGTACCCCACTGCTCACAGTAGGCGAAAACCAACCAATGCCAGTGACTGCTTTTGACAGGGATCTGAACAATTCCCTGGTTTACCACATCGAACCCAGTACTGCGCCCTCCCCTAGATTCGATCTCGACCACTCAGACATTGGTGATCAGGCCATGGCATTCGACTACCAGTTGTTTGATGTTGACCCATCTACGGGTAAATTAAGCACAAAAAACGTTCTGGACCGTGAGCAGCGAAAAAGTCACCAATTCAGTCTCTGTGCCAGTGATGATCAGCACAAAACATGCACGGAAGTTATCGTGCATTTGGACGATGTTAATGACAACCCGCCCATTTTTGAGCGCGAGACCTACATCATACGCCTGACTGAAAATGAGCAAATCTTCGAGCCCCTCATAATCTTTAATGTCACCGATGTGGACATCGGAAATCAGGGCTTTACATTCGCCATCGAGCCATTTCAGGCTTCCGGTGGTAGCTCAGGCGAATCTGACAGTGCCGCCGCCGAGGCGGCTGCTGCCTCTATTTTTTCCTCCGAAGTCCGAACTCTGCATCGTCACTTTAGCATTCGTGACAATAAACTGTTCCTTCGCCATCCCCTGGATCGAGAGAAAAGGGCTCACTTTCACTTTATGGTTCGCGTTACTGACTCGCAAAAGACCATGTCAAATGGCCTGCTTCAGTCCAAGAATCTTTCCAGTACGGCGGAAATTTTCGTGGAGGTGGCAGACACAAATGACAATGCTCCAGTTTTCATTTTCCCCAATGCTAGTGCGGGAAGCGAGGGTGGAAATCAGCTGAATGTCTCCTGCCGGGAAACAATGGGCAGTTCGATTGGCCACATTGAAGCGACAGATGCAGACCTCGGCAGAAACGGGACTATTGTGTATTCTGTCATCCAGGGTCCCGTCTCAAATGAACTGTTTTATCTCGACAAGCAGTCCGGGGAGCTGTTTGTTAACTCTGGCAGCCTGATTGATAATTGCGATTCGGTGTTTCTCTTAGTGGTGTCAGCCGACGATTTAGGCCCACCTCAGAGCAAAAAGGGTCGTCCACTACCCGTAGAGCGACTACTCATTCGTCTGCAAAACCAGCCAACTCTAGCAGAGTACATGTCCTTGAGCTCCCGGCAACAAGTTAACGACCAAGAAGGGCTGGATAGCATGCGTGGGGAGGGCGGCTACTTCGGAATGCCAGCGAAAACTATGCTCAGTGTTGTTCTTGGCGGATGTATCGTCTTCCTCACAGGTCTCTTCTTGGCCTGGCTTATCCTCATGGTTTACAACAGGTCAAAAAGACGGCGCCGGGAGAGATTGGATATGGAATTTCAGGCTCAGCGGTGTATAGATGCGGCAGCCTCCCACTCCGAGTCCTTCCTCCACCCTCTGGCAAATTATCCACCACAAGTGGGCCTGCAAGCTCAAGGCCCAGTTTTGCAGTATGCCGTCAGTCTTAAGGACTACTCACCAAGCAGAAAAGGTACATTTCGGGACATTTTGACTCCTGAACAGATATTCATTCGTTTTATATTAATTAGAAGAATTTATAATCGTCCGAGTAATCAAATTTGTCAAGTGGCTGAACGCATATGCGTTAGCTTACAAGTAACATCATAGGCAGATATAAGTGATGAAGCGCACAATGTGGAATACGATTTAGGTTGCTGGATGTGTATTTTTTTCAAATGAAGTGCACAATTTTCCTGGACTTACAGCAACCTGTCTAAGTTTTATCTAGATTAACGGAACAATGTTTAAAATGACTTTCCTTAACGCTGATGATTACAGTGGCCGCTTAGATTTTTGAAATATTTCGGTGCAAAATTTGTTTAACTGATTTTTTTACTGAGCGTGAAAGCGCCAATCAAGGAGTTAACTCATCACTGTATTCCTAGGTGCGCAGATTGAGGAGTCCTAAAAAGACATGTTTTACTTTAATGCAAAGAAATAGGTACTTTGTCTATCCGTACCGAAATTATGCATTTGGACTTTCTCGAAAACAAATTTGTATGATAGAGATATACTCTAAAATAACACAGCCTGGGATGTCTTTCTCTGAAATCTGCTCACAACAGATTCCGGATGAATACTGATGTGGGTACTCGAGCACTTCGATGGAGCTTTGCAATTCTAACTTTTAATTCGCGAACGCCGCCAATGCGCGGGAGATAACCCGACAACCCATGGCAATGTCACACCTATAATATTAGCCGCTGTGCGGCTCCAGGCGGAGCTCGAGTGTGAGTCTCAAGGCAGAATGGGACGACCGAGTCATGTAGCCGATTGGTGAGTGTCCAATACGTTAAATATCGCAAATGCGCCGCCTAGGGGAAACCATACAGAGGTATTTTCTGATTTATGAAGACGGAACGTATGTGCTGGTAGCGGACATGTGCAAACCAATATTCCACTCAAGTTTTAGAGCTTCAAATAATTAAATACAATTTCTGCGAAAGAAGTCGATTTTCCGATTGCTCAGCTAAAAATACTCAAAGTTTCTCTTAGCTACCAAATAAAGTTTTCTTCCACAAAAAAGAGGACGTAGGTGACGCAGAATTGTGTGTAATTGGTGTCATTCACAGCATGCGCTATGCCCACACCTCACCAATGCATGGATTATATGACCGTTAATGTTTCAGATATTTATTAAACACTAGAATAAAGGGAAAATTGTCCGGTATTTTTGTAATATTTACGGTTTTCTCAATGATCTCAGGCTTACTTACAAACATCGGGAATCAGTCGACAAAATATCGATATTAAGCGTCCGTTGCTTTCGTGCGGGCTTATGAAATTAGTAAAATTGCTGGCTAATTCCTATTTTCATGAACGCATGCGAATAAATGGACCTTATTTTGTTGTTCAAAGGTGTAAAAGGTATAAATCATAGAGGCTATCTTTACTACTAAGCTGTCGTCTTCCGCATGCGGTTTCCCTTATCTAACTGTATCCATGTACATTTTGACATTAACGTGTGTTCTTGAATTTGACCTTGTAATACGCCGACTCCATGCCTTCTGCTCTTTCAGTATAAAGTAAGGGAACACTGGGACATTTATGGGCGGGGTGTGAAAACGGGCGTCTGCGTGTTCTTGCGGTTACTTCCAAATAAACTAACCATACGCGCACACGTGGATTTATCGAGCAACATTATGGAAAGATGGGCGTTTTGACTGTAGGCGGGCGCTTTTTTCTTTGGTTTTAACAAGGATTTCGTACGGAAACTATTATACGTGAGCGTGACCATTAAGGATATTTAGTGTCACTTATAATTGATTTTAAAATTTGCATACCATCGCTTATAATTAGTAACGCGTTTTCATGTCGTCTCTTAGCTAGCGGGCAGTCAAACTAGGATGCGCTTCGTAATCTCAGTAAATTTTAATCAAACAACGCTCATCGCGGAAGTAATCACATGTGAACTCAGCAATTTTGCGCAGATGTCGGCGTTTTAGTTTTTAGTATGCCTAATTTTTCTTCCCCATACGAAGGAGATCATTAAGGAGAAAAGTGAAAGATGCATCTTAAATACACCATGCGATAGGTATTTTTTATACTATAAAATGGAAGCAATCTTCCATATCTAATGTCTTTTTAACCAAAGCATTTTATGCTTAACAAAAATAGAGCGCAATTTAAAGTCAATCCAAGGTACGGAGTTATTGACCCCAAAAGTGTTTATATTTACTTTTGATAAGTAGATCTGGTCGCATCTAGTGCCATACCCGTGGACAATTTACGTCGAGTTACCGATAAATTGCTTCAAATATTGGCATAGGCACGGTTTTACACCTCAGCTTTTTAGATTATATTAGGCAATATGCATAGTGTGCGGCCAAAAAA